CGGAGCGGGTAGCTCGGATGATCGCATCCGACTGCCACAGGTCAGAGTCAGACGTGGTCGGCAGCAGGGAGGAGACCCACCTCCACCGCCACCTGCGGGCAACCCTGCTGCACGCCCACGACTTCCAGACTGGTCAAGGTGCGACGTGCAAATCAGCATATAAAACCTACGAAGCCTTGATCCAAGCGCGGTAACACGCGAGCTGCGGAAGCTACACTTGCGGTGTTCCATGCGAAAGAGCCTAAGATGAGATTCACCTTAACAAAGGCAGGTGTGGACAACGTCAGACTCAATCTGATCAAAGGCGTCTGCGACGCGCGTCGGGAGCGCAGGGCTTCGGACAAGTTTGGGAATGCGGCTATGCAATCTGCTGCACTGCCCGGCAAGTTCAACGAATAAGTTGAATGTGACTTCAGGTTCTACAAACAAGAACATAATATATCTCACATCATCGACCGTTGTATTCGCTATGCCAGTGGGATGGAGAAACCGGACAAGACAGTGACCAGCATCCCGGATGCGCACCATCAGTGCTGGATGCAGTTTGGACTTGCCAAGGTACTCTACTCCGATGGGGGGGTTGCCCTTGACAACGACACTGCGAAAGCAGTCCTTAAGGCAGAAGGCACTGAGCTGAGGACGCGCGCGCGTGGACAACGCACTGCGACGATCGAAGCCAGAAATGACATACTACGCCATCTACTTCACGTCATGGAAGCTGAACTCAAGAGGTTAGACATACCTCTGGTGTTCACACGACTACTGCATGAAGCCCTGCTTGCCGCCGACGCATTCGCCTGTTAGTAATGATGTGTCTCCATGCAGCGCCCTGTTTGGACGGCAGCCGGCAACGCTCCCTGACCTGCCTGTTCTGGACCACGAACAGCCGAAGGAAACGTCGGGTCACTCTCGAGAACAGATGATACGCAAGGTGCGCATTGAAGCTATGACACAGGCTACTGCAGTTGCCAAGACCAATCGTGCATTACGCACTAAGACAACTATCGCTGGTCAGCACTACTACGATGAGGGAGACTTAATTGACTACCACCGCCCCGCAACTACGAAAGGCGACGGGGGAGGCTGGAAGGGCCCGTTCCTGGTCGTAAGACATGATCCCGACAGAGGTCATGTCATCATTCGAGTGGAAAGCCGCGATGTTAAAATACAATGCGGCGATGCGCGCCACTCGATTTACATCGCAGTTTTGATAGCCAGGGAACTTGGCTTCGACAACACTGCGCTACGGACAGCGTTGACATTCGTGGCCGGCCTACCTGCTTGGAGACCTGCTATGGAATTTGGTTATCTCCTGACGAAGAAGGGGACGCCTCTTCAGATGACAAGTGCACGCCGATTATCTCCGAAGGCACAGCTGTCGTTACAATACCTCATCGGAAACTTCTCCCGCATCGAGAACGTAGTTTCTGTTAGACTGGCCAAGAGTATCCACGAGGTATTTCCGGTGGCTTACGCTGACAGTTGCACATTGGCCTACTATGGCAACGATTTGAATCCAGAGTTTCACTACTATGAAGCAGAAGGCACCGCTCTCAATATTCATGATATAACTGGATCAGCACATTTAAGAATCATTTAGTGCCTGAAGCCCACCAAACCTCAAGCGGGCGTTGACCAAGACGTGACAAAGTTTGAGGAATTGGCGGTTATACGGACACGAGACGGAACCGCCAGAGAAGCCCCAGAAGCCGAACCGCGACCGGAGGATGAACGACTTCCCACGATATATGAGGAATCGGAGGTGGACCTCGAGGCACATATTATGGAAGTGTGGTGTGCAGAACTAGACGATGAAAAGGAATTGTTGGAGGCAGCTCCAATAGAGGACCTTTTCACAGTACCCACACATGTGATTCCCGACAACAGTGCGCTGGTCAATATAGCTGAAGGACAGCGGGGACACCCGCCTAAGTGGGGGCACCCACGCGACTCCGACATCGAGGAGACGTATCATGCCCCGTGGTGCTCAACGGTCGAAGATTGCAGTTCCGGGTTGGTCTCGGACGAAAACGGACAACACGTAGAATTCTGCTTCGCGGCAGAAATGTCAAAGGTAGTCTTATCCGAACAACGGAATAGGATATTCGATGTCGACCGTGCGACCACCATGCGAGTATATGTTACCGCCGCTGCAAAGCGAGCCGCGGTCGTCAAGGAAGACGACCTCTTCGCGAAGGCCGACATCCAGGCGAACCCCGAGAAAGCATCGAAAGCCCTAAACAATGAACTCAAGACACGGTTGGGCAACAAGTGTTTTAACATGCAATATAAATCTCAAGCGTCAAACGCCGCGATTTCGAGGCATGTGTACAAATGGAAGTTCGTGAAGAACGAGAAGGGCGAGATGAAGCGCACCATCAGGTTGCGCCTGGTGCTTCGAGGCTTCATGGACCTTGAAGCTTTCGACGTGAAAACCTTCTCAGGGGCAGCGCGGTGGCCAGGCCAGAGGCCGCTCACAAGCGCGGCAGCGTGCAAGAAGCAATGGGTCATTACTTCCCTCGACATCAACATGGCCTCTCTGCGAGGGTTGACCCACCAGGGACATGCTGAGGCAACTGGTGAGAAAGAACGCGTGGTGTGCTTTATTCTGCCGCCTGGATCGGCTACGGTGCTTCGCGCTCTTCCAGGTTTCGAGCGCGACGACGAGTCGAAGCGCTGCTTGCAGTGCCTCAAGCCAGGCGCTGGCACCGAGGACGCACCTAGAGCTTTCTCGTGAAAGCTCAGAATGACCACGAGAGGCTTCGGTCTGAGAATCACGTCCTACGACGAGGAGTTCGAGACATGCAGCAACCTGCGCACAGCTAAACAGGTCGATGATATCAATATGGCCAGTACCGAGGACACCATTGACAAGTGCGCCCAGTGCGTAGAGGACCTTTGGTAAATGTAAACTCAAGCATACATGCACCCTCTGTGCTGCGAGGTAGACCAAGGATGGGGACGGCAATGTTTCGTTGGACCAGGATGAATACATCGAACAGCTCCGTCCTATACAACATCCTGAACGTACTGGCGCCGACGCTGACGCCGAGGCATCCAAGATGGTTGCAGACATGTTCGTCAGCCTCAGAGGCGTGCTGTCTTATGCATTAATCACCCAAGTGTTGTTCATGTTATATGTAGTCTCTCTACAACGTGTCCAAGAACCGACCACTATACAAGTGCGACGACTGACCGCGATCACCAGGAAGCTGCAGGCTTGCCCCAAGAAGATCGTCTACCAGGCGATGACTCCCACGGGCGAAATTGACCTGCACAGCGACTAAGATACCGACGCTGGAGTGGAGATGTCGAGGACGAAGTCTAAGGCTATGGTATTCGCGGGGCGAACCTGCTGGGGCGTGGAGACATGTCATCCGGCAAGCCTGTCGTTTACTTGGTCGATGCGCACTGCAAGTCTCGCCGCTTGCAGGTCCGCTCGAGTTATTCAGCAAACCACTAGCAGCAGCCCACAACTTGGAGGACTGCTATCCCGCGATCGTGACTGCGCGAGCACCACGCAGGGCCGCTGAGTCCCACTCAGTTGAATGAAATACTTGGGTTGGGCGGCCTGAGCATCAAGGTCACTTTGACCATAGATGCTGAGTCTGTTTTTTTGTTTATATATATAAATAAAACCTGGTCAAGCAAAGCTTTTAAGAAGCCGACGGGCGGTACCCTTTTAGGACACATAAGTTGGATACGACAGATGATGGAGCGAGGAATTGTGCATAATATTCAGTGGTGTGACACCTGCGACATGACCGCGGACGGTCACACAAATGAGGTATCGACAGAGATCAGCTCCTACAGGTCATGGGAGGTACGCAATCCTTCAAGCATTTGTTCAGCGTCGCGCTCCTTATCGGGCTGGCCAGACATCCTGGTCTGCGGCCGCCTGAGGAGTCCTTGTATGCACAGTAACGCGCAGGCAAGGCAACTTTCGTGCGGGTCCACCTTCCTTACGGCCCCGCCCTTCTTTTACTGCTTTTGTAGATAGTAGCCGCTGTATCTGCTGTATAGAAGCGGCGGACTCGCGCTTCGTCTCCCGCCCCCCCCCGACTCTAAAGTGAGCTGGGATACAGGCGAGAAGTAACGAGCGTGTGTCCGCGGCCGTTTGTGCTCAAGCGGCCGGCCGCCCTGACCTGACTACACCTCAGCGCGAGGTGTACCATTTGCCATCGAGACCAAAACATCCTTTGCTTGAGATGGCTCGTCGGTCCCGCGACGACCTCCTACAACTGGGACTATCGTTGCTACGGTACAACAGAGCTGGAGCTGGGCTTCGCGTTAGGCGAAGCTGCTGGTTGGGCCTCCCAGCCCCTTTCAAACTTGAGGCGCCTTCTTGGGCCGTCTAAGTGGTCTTTGGGCTGTTTGAGACCTCTTCGGTGCGGTGGTCTTCTTGGGCTTTGTTGGGGTCCTCGCGCCGTCATGCGGAGTTACTGGGACGTCTCGGGGCCCTCTCGGGCACTCCAGGGAACACTTTGGCAGAAAAGCGCACGAAACGATACAACTATACGTTTTTATAGGTGTCGCGTGTTTCAAGTTTGTCTGGGCCTTTTCTTTTGGGCCTCTCTTGAGGCTGCTGTGGCCGTCCTCGAGTTGTGTTCTGAGCATTCCTGTTTGTTTTAAGCAATCGTGCGAACCATCTTGGGCATCTTAGAGACACTGGGGGCCGCTAGAGGAGTGTCAAAACTCCCCCACGAAGCGTCGGCAGGGAGGGTTGGGGTACGCGAGTCGGTGGGTGTTGGCAGGGGGGTGGGGGGTTTCGGAAAGCTACGGGGGGCCCTACCAGACAGACCTTGAGCGACGAAACGAAACGTCTTCACAGATATGGGCGCGTAAGCTGCCCGCGTAAAGTCGCGCGTAAGCGCCCTCGTTTACAACTCACTGTGCCGAGCTGGCGGCCCGCGTAAGCCAACGCGCAAGGTCGCTATGCCATCTCGCGTAAGGCCCGTACATCCCACACGTGCCAGAGGTGGCGTGGGGGCGGATTCGAGGGCCGAGAGGAAAGGCTAGACAGCTGGCTCCGGGCGCGGTACGGGGCCGGTCTCGGGCAGGAGGAGGCCGCGGAAGGCAGGGTGGCGCATACTTCACCGCCCTCTGCGTTCGTGACGCCGGCACCGGCGAAATGCGAACACGCCAGACGAGGCGGCGAGGAGGACACGCGTAGAGACGAGGTTCCGCCACCGCCGGGCAGCGACGAGGAGGAGGGCCGAGAGGGGGCTGATGGACACGCTGCGACGTCCAGAGAGGAGGGCGTGATCGAGGAGGGGAAGGACGACGAGGAAGTGGTCGAAGGCGTGGACGCCGAGCAATGGGATTTCGAGGCCGCTTTCTTGGATGAGGGTGGCCCGCCAGCAGCAGCTTCGTGCGCCGTGGAGGACTGTCCGCCATCGCCGCCGATGTCACTGCCGCCAGCGCCACCGATGCCGAACGATTCGGACGACCCCGACGGGGGAGACGAAGCGGCCACGACGGACTTCTACTTGGACTTCTGCGACGGCCTGTGACGGGCAGTCCAGCTTCGCGCACAGGGGGGCAGCGGCAGAGGAAAGGGATCGCGCCCGCAGAGGAAGCATGCTGCATGTTTGCCTTCCTGCTTGTCTCGGCTGCTCCGCATGTGGGCGGGGAACATAACTGTGGCCGCGGCCTCGCGTCTCTGACGCTGCCATCCCATGGACACGGGGTAGCCTTCTGCGAATGCCCCGCGCGTGACCTAGCCATGGGATCGCGTATCCATGGGATCTCGCTTCGGAATCCAGACCGCGAGGGCATGGATATGGATTCGTTCGTGGCTCGTGATCCGCGCACATGCTGGGAAGGGCTCTTGACTCTTGCGCCTTTTCCAAAGCCGCCGCAGCAGCCTTGGTCGACGCTGGCCGTGCCGCAGCGCACGCTCTGCCGCGTTCCTTCCAGGGATGTGGTGCTCTGGCCCGACCTCATTCCTACCCCTTACATCCCCTCGAACCCTTCCGTCCCTCAGGAGCGACGAGCGCATCCATACCGCCCTCGGGGTCTGAACGCCGAGGCGCGACCCCATGGATGATTTCGCGGTGCCGTGGATGAGCTCCGCGCGGGATATGCGTGGAAAGCCGCCCCGTATCCGCGGGGTCGCGGTCGAGGCGTCGGGACCGAGAAGCCAGGACATAAACATTAAAACTCGGAGGCCCGCACGGATTTCTCGGATCGGCGCTGGACCCCCCTGCCGCGCTGAGCGCGCCAGGGGCGTCGCCGGAGGCGCCGCCAGGGGCCCCAGCGCCGATCCGAGGAATCCGCGCGGATCTCCGAGTTTGTATGCTTCTGTCATCGTTTACCCCCCGAATCCCCTCCCCCCCTTCCCCTGTCGCCTGGGTTCAAGACCGCTCCGAGCTCGGGTCCGCGCCCGCGGATGCCCGAGGCCCGCGCGAAGCTGGCCATCGAGGGGAGGAGCCACCTCCTGGAGCCGATCGGTCCGACCGTGCGCGCCCTGCACAAGGCGGGCAAGGCCCTCGGCGAGGAGGAGGAGGAGGAGGAGGAGGAGGAGGAGGAGGGGCCACACCCGGGCACCCGCGGGGGGGGCGTCTTTCAGCGGATGGCCGTGTGAGGCACTCGTAGTCGCGGGAAGCGCAGGGGCCCCAGCGAAACTCGGCGGGTGGAGCCACCATTCGAGCGCAAGGAGAGATCTGAGGAGCCCCGAGGGAGCCTGGAACTGTGCTGGAGAACCCCGGTGGGTCATGACAACCTCTCCCGCCCGGGATTGCGAACGTTCCCAAGCGATTTGTGTTGACCCCGACCATTCGGCGACAACCGCAACCCAACTGGTGCTAACCCCAACCGCCCTTCATAGGATTGGCACGGGATCCCAAAAGAATCTGAGGGGCCCTGAGGGATCCTGAGGGAGTTTGAGGGACCCTTGGGAAATACTAAAGGTCTGAAAGGTCGTCAGGGATGCTGATGGAATCTCAGTGAACCTGAAGGATCTGGAGGTACCTGAAGGAATATGAAGGACCCTGGTGGATTCTAAAGGAATCTGGAAGGCTCTGATGGATCCTGACGGAATATGATGAAGTCTAAAAGGTTCCTGAGGCACGTGATCCTGAGGGAATCTGAGGGAGCATGAAGGGTATCAGAGAGATCCTTCGGGAATTTAAAGATCCGGAGGAAATGTTAAGGACTGAGGAGTCTGATGGGATCTAATGGAAACCAGGAAGGATCCGGAGGGAATCTGAGGGATCCTGAGGGAATCTGAAGGATCCTGATGTGACCTGATGGGGTCTGATGGGAATTTCAAGGGCCCGAGGGAATCTGAGGGATCCAGAGGGATCTTGAGGGACCCTCAGGGAATCTGAGCGATCCGGAGGACATCTGAAGGAAGCGGAGGGCTCCTGAAGGAATTTGAGGGATTAAGAGTTCCTGCGGAAATCTGAGGGACCCCGAGAGAGTCTGAAGAATCTCAGGGATGATGCTGGAACTCAAAATCTGATGGGACTCGAGGAATTCGAGGGCTCTTGAGCTGAGCGAGCTTGAGGGGATCTGAAGGAATCTGGTGGAGTCAGCCGGATCCTGAGGGCCCCCGAGGGATTCTGAAGGATCCTGAGGGAGTCCCAGGGAACGCATGGAAGTTAAGGACCTTGGACGGAACCTAAAGGGATCTGAAGGAACCTGATGGACACCGAAAGAACTTCATGGAATCCAACGGATCCCGAGGAACCCTGGGGGATCTAAAGGATCCAAGAGGAAACCGCAGGAATCTCAAGGAATCGAATTGATCCTGAGGGAACCTGGGGGATCTGAAGGATCCTGAGGGCATTTGAAGGGCTTGAAGTAATCTGAAATATCCGGAGAGAATTCGACGGAGTCTTAGGGGACATGGTGGAATCTGAAGGATACTGAGGGACCCCGAGAGAATCCGAAGGATCCTGCGGGACTCCGAAAGACTCATGGAATCTGAGGGACCCGACGGAGCCTGATGGGATATGAGGGAGCACCAGGGAAGCTGAATGATCTCTAAGGAATCTGAAGGATCTTGAGGGATCCTGAGGGAATCGGAAGGCTTGAAGAATTCTGAAGGATTCCGATGGGACCAAAAGGATCTCGAGGGAGACCTGCGGGGATCTGAAAGATCCTGAAGGAACCTGATCGAACTTGATGGATCCTGAGGGAACGGGGCCTACCCTGCGGCATCCGCAGGGCCCCCCCGCAAGGGTCCTTATCATTCCTCATTGGAATTCACACAACGTCCGGCGTCTTGAACCCTAGACCCGGTTTGGCAAGCATCGCGCGCCCATCCATAGCCCGCCCCCAGCGCGCGCGCGAGGGCGCTCGAATGATTTCGGTGCGCGCGCGCGAGGGGCCCGCTTGATCGATTTTGATGAGCGCGTCGAAAACCATTGGTTTTAAAACATACGGAAGAGCGCGCGCTTTAAACAAACCATGAAACAAAACAACAAAAGAAACGCTGCCAAACCTTGTTTTCGGCAGACGCGTTTCAGGAATGTCGGTTTATACATACTTGCGAGATTCAGGATTGTGAAACATGTTGGCAACGAGCGCAAACGCGCGCAACGGCGCGCGCGTGATCTTTGTCCAGCCTGCAGTGTTGGGTCCTCGTTTTGAAGAGACAGCGCCGTGTGTATTCTCCTATGCTTAGTTTTCTTCTTCTTTTTCTTCTTCTTCTTTTCTCCTCTCCTCATCCCCCACGTCCGCCCCCCAGTCCTGCCTCTGCTTTCCGCTGGCGTCATCGTCAGCACCGTGCGTCTGCGCTCCGCGCGCGCCATGTCGGCGCACCCTTGAGCGGGTCGCAGCCCTTTGGGGGGCCCCACCAAAGGCCTCAGTGGCGGGGCCCGCGTGTGCCCGACGCCTCAATTGGCACCCCCCACGCGCGACTTGTGGATCCATAATGAGCTCCACCGGAGGCTTCAATGGCAGGGCCCGCGCGCGCCCGACGCCAAATTTGGCGCACCCTTCACGCGGTTCGCGGCCCCATCGGGGACTCCCACGAAGGCCCCAGCGGCAGGGCCCGCATGCACCCGCCGCCAATTTCAGCACATCCTTCACACGGTTCGCGGCGCCGCTGGGAGGCTCCACCGCGCGCGGGGCCCAGGCCGAACCAAACAAACTCCCGTTCGCCCGCGTCAGCATTTCCCCTCCCTCATCCCCACCGCGTTTTTTCGCGCGCCGTTTCCATCGTTCTTTTCACCTGCTTCGCGATACTCGCAGCTGCATGCGGCTGGGTCCTTCGTCAGGCTGATGTATGTTGCAAGGGATTTTTGATATTCAAGTAATTCTTTACGCTTCGCGTATCCCCACCAGCCCATCTCACAGCAGCAACTCTCGCGAAGCATGCCGACAGTCATGTTTTTCAGGCGTGTGTCCGCTTGGCCCCGCATATCTCACCTGTTCCTCCTTCCTCCCGCCTCCTTGTACATCCTCCTTGTGAGGGGAGCGGGAGAAGGACGAGGCGGAGGAGGAGGGAGAGAAAACGCTCCTCGTGATTTGAGTCGTTTGGGGTTTCTCGTCCTGGTGTGAGTCGTTCGGGCCCTTCTTCCTGGTGTGAGTCGTTCGGGCTCTTCGTGGTGTGAGTCGTTCGGGCTCTTCGTCCTGGTGTGAGTCGTTCGGGCTTCTCGTGGTGTGAGTTGTTCGGGCCCCTCATCCTGGTGTGAGTCGTTCGGGCCCCTCCTCCTGGTGTGACTCGTTCGGGCTCCTCGTGGTGTGAGTCGTTCGGGGCCCGCGTCGTGGTGTGAGTCCTTCGGGCTCCTCGTGGTGTGAGTCGTTCGGGCGCCTCGTCCTGGTGTGAGTCGTTCGGGCCCCTCCTTGTGGTGTGCGTCGTTCGGGCTCTTCGTGGTGTGAGTCGTTCGGGCCCCTCGTCCTGATGTGAGTCGTTCGGGCTCCTCGTGGGGCCTCTTGGGGGCCTCTTGCAGCCTCGTGGGGCCTCTTGGGGGCCTCTTGGGGGCCTCTTGGGGGCCTCTTGGGGGCCTCTTGGGGCCTCGTGGGGCTTCTTGGGGGCCTCTTGGGCGCCTCTTGGGGGCCTCTTGGGGCCTCGTGGGGGCCTCTTGGGGGCCTCTTGGGGGCCTCTTGGGGCCGCTTGGGGCCTCTTGCAGCCTCGTGGGGCCTCTTGGGGGCCTCTTGGGGGCCTCTTGGGGGCCTCTTGGGACCTCCGCAGAAGCGCAAAGGAGAGCTGCCCCCTGAGAAAGACAAAATGAGCCCAAAACCTTCGTAAAATCAATGATTTTGCTATGAGGGAAGATGAGCGCGGCCCCCTTAGAAGGCCAACATGGGGCCAAAACCATCGTAAAATCAATGATTTCTGCTTCAAAGACGAGTTGATGCGCCAAACGGTTCCCCCCCCCCCCTTGGGACCAGAATCCTCGTGAGGGTCGTCGTTTTTTGGCCCTCCCAGGAGTCGAAAAAGACCCCCTTGACACCACTCCGCCCGCCCTCTCCAGGTCCAGGGGAGGGGGTAGGGGGAGGGGTAAACCCCTCCCCGAAGGGGAAGAAGGGGGGTTGAGGACAGAGCAGGCTCTCTAAACCACTCACGCCCAAAGGGCTGGTGGGATTTTGATATACGGATGCGGCGTCGTATTACTTGTCCAGGATGAATGGGGGGCGATACGGGCTTGGCTGGGATGGTGCGAACTTCATGTTTCAGATGAGCGATGGGGCAGCATCGCACGACAATTGCACTGATGGGGCGTGGGGCGCGACTTGTTGGTGGTGGGGATCCTATTTCCAATTTCAAAAGGGGAGTCTGCGTGGTGCAATATTCTACGCGGAGCAACCGATGTGGAACAATCGATGCGGTGCAATTCATAAGACACTTGTAGTTGACAGCTCCATTGCTCGCTCGATCATCCCACCTGCCCACCAGCAACTTGGTTTGCAAAACCCATGCGGCGGCAATTGAGATGAATGCTTGGCGCTGGTTTGCGCGTCGTTGCGGTCGCGATAACGTGCGCGTGCTCGCGCGCGCAGCGGCTGGCGAGTTTGGCGCGAACGACGCGGCCGCAGTGGCGCTGACCGCCGGGCGCGTCCCAGCGCGCCGCAGGCCGTGCTGACGCTCAAGCAGTGGCGAAGCGTCTTGGCTCGCCTATAGCCCTACCAAACAATGTTCTAAGAACCTTGTGTGGTTTCCAAAAAATGCTGTTGCAACATTTCTGGTGGATTTTGTCTTGCTCTATCATATCGCGTTTATGTTGTAAGAGTATTGTTTTTGTTATTAGAACAGTTTTGAGTTATTGCATGTCGTGGTAGGACTATAGGAATGCCGGGACGGTCGGTCCCTGCTCAAGACGCGCGGGCGCTTCAGGTCGAATTGGTGAATTTGGCGGGCGCGGTATCATGGCGACGTCGACCCCAGTGGGCGCGATGATGGTCGTAGGGGTGACGGTGGCGATGATGACATTGACGACGGAAGGGCCAATGGCGGCGCCGATGCTGATCACGCCCAATGCGAAGATGACGCCCTCGCGTCGGCGATGAAGGCTCGGGAAGGATTTCGACGGCCCG